ATTTAGTCTTACTACCGGTGTAGTTTGGGAGCATCTGTCAGTGTTGTCATTGATACTAATATTTTCTTTTTTATAGGTAAGAAGTATTCTTATTAATAATTAAACTATTATAATTTATTATTATAACTATTTTATTAGTATTATTATGTTTTTCATTATAGATGCTCCCGAATTTAAACTAGGTTTAAGCTACTTCTAATGTAATTTAATATTGTTATGTATTAACTGTTTTTGTGATTTTATGTTCAATGTAATTATGTGATTTGTATTTGGAAGATTGTTTTGTCTCTCCAAATCATGGAAATCTCCAGTATGCATAAATAAATAAATTAATTAATTAATTAAAGTTCTCTGTTTCTTCATTTACGAAAATAATTTCTTACATTTGTGATATTAAAGCTTCGGAATTCTCCTCTATTAGACAATTTCTATTTCCGAGAAGAGTTTAATTTATACTTGTTAATAGAGTTTGATAAGAATACGGGGTGACACAAAATACATTTTAAAATTATTTCAAAAACACTGAAACATGTGTATATTAAATTATGTTATTTAAAATAAGGTAGGTATAGTTATTATAATTAAAATTAATTTTTAATTTCTTTTATTAAAATATAAATGTGAACATGTCACCTGTCTCTAGTTCAAATTATACACTAAATTAATTTATTATACAATTTGAATTAGAGATAAATGAAGAAACTACACTATATTTTTTCTTTTAACTGTTGCATCCTTTGGATGCTAAGAAGACTGTTTATTTGTGCCAGTCTTGAGTTCAACCAGCCCATAATGGTGCAGCTTATTGGCTAAACAGCAATACTTTTTATTTCTAATAGAAGAAAGCATAATAATAAGTTAAATATTTAATTACTTCTCTAGACAGTCTTTCGTCGTTATTTTGTATCCGGTCTTTCTCTTTCACGATCTCTTGCAACTTTTTAACTTCTCGCAAATACTCATCTCTTTCCTGTTCACGTTCCTGGGCCTGTTCCTGAGTATAAATGATTTTGTATAAGAAATTATAGTCAAAACACAGGTAATAATTACAAAATTTGCATTTTTTATCTAAAAATTGTTAATTAATTCATGAAAAATTCTACAAGCTATAGAAATAATTAAATAATAAGAAGTGACCCTAGTTTAACATTTTATTATAAATAAACAACAAACTATATAAATGTTATGCAAGTTTCATTCAAATCAGTATCTGAATCCATTTATTATTATAATTATTATGTATTCAATACATTTCCTGTCAATTTTAATCTCCTTGATCTTATTCCAAAGTTTGACATTGCTTTGAAGATTTTCTCTAGGAACAGCAATAATTTAGCATTTAATAAATAATTGATTTCCTCTAAAGTCTGTGGCTTGAGTTTATCAAACCACAGGCTTTAGAAGAACTACCTTCTGGATATTTCCATGAAAATAAGCTGCAAGGATTTGCATTTAAAGAAAAGATAAAACAGTCAATTCCCTTCCCCAGTGCTTTCCATGATGTAAAGATCATCAATGTTGATAAAAAACATATTGAACACATTGTATTATAAATGGCTTCAAATTCTAACCTTATTATTCATCTGTAATTAAGCATGAGACTCAAGCCAGCTACACATACACCCATATACCTAAACAGGTTCACCTGTTCAGTATACTCGAATATTTAGATGAAAAACAGCTGACAGTTCTGTCATCCACATATTCACGTATACTGGTATGTGCATAGCCAGTGTTAGACTATCTTATATTTAGTATAACATAAACCAATGAATTTACCTCAATGAATCTTTTATAAGACAGTAACTGTTTCTCCACAGATTCCATTTGAGATTTTAAGTCTTCTATCTCATGGCACTTTTCCTCCAACAGATCTTCTTTCTGAGATATTGTCTCTTCCAAAACTAACTCCAGATGATGAATGCGCGATAACATCTGTTGCCTTTCTTTGTCATGATTTTGCTGTAACTTATGTTTGTCGGAATTCAGTTTGTTGTTTTCTTTTAAGAGTGCTATAAACAGAATTCAACATTAATAAAATAACTTAGAATTCAGAAAATTCATTGCATTATTTTATGAAAGCTACAAATTACTAAATATAATTAAATTTATTTTTTGCTCATTTATCTTGCAAGTTTGCCATAAACTATATACAGCAGAGTTTAGTTATTACCATTTATAATCAGTTGCAACTCTCGACAAGATCAAAGTACAAGCAAAAAATGAAATTTCTAGTTAAATTCCTATCTTTAAAATCCAAAAATACAAAGTTCTACATTTAGTAAGAAAGTCCTGTATTGCATAATCTATGAAGAAAATATGAGGAATTAAGAAGGACAATCATCAATTAACCATTCATTTGCCAATGTTCTCTATTAGGAACATATTATATAATATATTTTACTTTTTTTTTTAAATTAATTTTATGTTTTTTTTTGTGATGTTATAATATAAAAAGGTTTGCATTTATTAACATTGCTTAATTTTTCTCATGATGTTGTCATTTAGTTGGTCTTTAGACTGTTGAATATTGACAATTTTGGAAAGAAAATTTTACCAAATTTTTTATCATCAATGAAACAGTCCAAAATGAATTTTGCAATTATAAATTTCTTCTATTTATACTATTGTTCTTTAAATTGTATCAATCTTATCTGTTTATTTAATAGGGGAAAACATTTTGATACATTTGCATTTGGAAACTTTGGTACATCATGTAAATATTGTTTTCATAAAAGCTATGAAAGAGTACGCAATCATTGATGTCGTCTGTGTGATCTGAAGAGGCTGTTCAGATACTACTTGATGAATCAGATGTTGAATTATGCATTTTGTCCCTAGAAGAAACAAAAAGAAAATGTTCACGAGAACAATTTCCAGAAAGTTTTGCCTGTAATGTAGTGTAAACAAATTAATTTCTTTTTTCCTCATTCTTCAATGAATTGTTTTGATAAAACCAACAATCCTTGGCTATCAGGATACTAAACAAGAAGTGAAACTTTTCATCGGGAAGCTACATCATTCAAATAATTAGAGCACCAATACTGAGATTCTTACAAATGTTAGCTGACAAAAAAAATTGATCAAGTAGAAGAAAGTTTCTTGACTTTAAGTTTTCCTTTTGAAGTGAATCAAACTGACAAAAATATAGCAATTTTGCACAGCTAAAAAAAAAAAAAAATGATTGACATCTAACCAAATCAACTCTCATCAAGGCATTCAACCAGAGAATGGGTAGAGTTGATGTCTTGAACCACCTAGTAGAAAGTTACAGGCCATAGCCACACTTAAAAATTATGGTAAAATCTATTCTGCAATGGAAACCCACTTTAGAATAGAACCCACCACCATTATTGCTTGTAGCAAGCTGGTTCCTGCACATTAAGCTTCACAAAAACACACCGTCAGAGCCTACACATCAGGAGTTTTGAAGAGAGATTGTGCATCTTCTTCTTCACTTAAAACCAGAAGTCCAGGTACACCCTACATTGAGTTTATCTTCTCCAATCTTTAAAAACAACTGGCAATCATTATTCAGTTTCACATTTCCAAGAACATTGTTGTATGCAAAAGAGCACAAAGGAACAGTACAAAATGTTCAATACTCAGAATTTAATACTAGCTATGATCCTAGATGCTGTATGATACCAATCATCATAAATTGCAGGCTTTACATTACATACAATTATGTAAAAGACACTCACAATTTCATGTTTCCTTCAGACTCGCATAACCTAGAACTGTAACTGCTTAAAAACAAACAATTTTTCATATGACTAATGTAAATAAATAAGTAATTAGAACACAAATCAATTATTGTATTCATTCAGACACTTGGCAAATCTCATCATTAAATTTTATTCGGTTGAAGTTGAGCTTGCCCACCGTTTACTACACAGTCACATGACGAGTAGGCTGCCTTGTGGCGACATTTTTTTTTTAAATATTTAAAAGGTTTTTTAATTTTATAAGATATCGAGCCAGTTTTCGTTTGTTTTAATACTTACGTTTTTATTTATACATTTATTACTTTTGATAATTTCTATGCTTTCTTTGAACTTACGACGATATGTTTCTTTTTCTTTGTGGAGTATTTGTACGTTATCTTCATCAATGTTACAATCATTCAGAGTGCAATGATCATGAAAGGCTGAATTTATTCTATTGTATTTTAGATCTGCTATATGTTCTTTTAATCTGGTTTTTAACTTTCTTTTAGTTTCTCCTATATAATATTTATTATCATTAGAAATACAGTGAATTTTATACACCACATTCTTAGCTTCGACTGGTAGTTGTTGTTTTTTCTCAGTGTTGAGTTGTTTAAGTCTTGTATACATTTTTTGGTATGACGGTGCTAACTTAAAGTTTATATTACTTATTTCATTATCAATTTGTTCGTGTAGTCCTTTGATGTATGGGAAACCAATATACTTTATATCATTTGTTTTTTTATTGTCTCGTGGCATTTTAAGATTATTTATCTTAAGTTCCCATTTTTTTAACAGTCTTTATGGGTAACATGCCAGGAGAAATTTCTTTTTTAATTCGGCTAAATCTGAAAATATGTGTATTTCTTGACTTGTTCTGTTTTTTATCTTATAATACTCCATTTTAAATATATTATATTTGACATGAAGTGGCACGTTAGACTGATATCTTACTGTTATCTGACTCGAACCTCGCTTTCTAAATGTTCTAAATTCTAAGCTTTCTTTTAATCTTCTTATCGTAATGTCCAAATAGTTCATTTCTTTTGTGGTTGTATCTTCTATTTCTGCTTTAAACTTTATCTCTTCTTGTATATTATTAACTTGCTTGTTGATTTCTTCTATCCTGATTTCTGTTTCATTGTATATTATTAGAATATCATCCACATATCTTTTATAAAACTTTATATCTCTTATATTGCTAATTTTGTTATCTATAACTATCATTATTAATTCTGCTAATTTTGGTCCTATTATCCCATGCTTATCCCACTTGTCTGTATATAAAAATCATCATCAGCCTTAAAATAATTACTTCTGTATGCAAATTCTATTAAACTTATTATTTCATTTACTTTTTTAATTTATCCCACGTTATTGACGGATACATATCTATAATGTCAAGACTTGTTATCTTAAAGTTTTCTTCCATACTGATTTGATTTACAATAATTGATTTGTGTTCGAATTACTAAAAATTACTGGCCCGGTTTCAAAAATACCAGAGTAAATAAATAGCTTGATATGGTTATATTTCAACCAAAAATTAATATA